GCTTTATGCAGAAAGCCAAGTTTTTTTTTCAAACCTGCTCACTTCATATTGAAAAACACGCTCCTTCCATCTACAAAATACCCTTCCAAACAAAAACCTTCCCAATCTATATAGACAGGTTAATCCACACAGACAAATTTATCCATATATGACTTAACGGAAAACCAACCAAACAGCCTCTTAGCTTATAAACTAGTCATGACTGGTAAAAACTAGTTGATAGGCTAGACAACAATGTAAAATAACCTAAAAGAACATGTTGAAAAATTAATTGTAAAATATAATAATTGGAAAGAAAAAAAAAACCCGAAGCTTATTGAAACACTATTATAAGCCAACTTATAGCCAACTAAACAAGGCTTTTTCAGTAAATCAAAATAAGCTCGCTTATGGTTGCCAAACATGGCCTAAGTGAGGAACCAATCGAAATTGCATAACTTTACCTGCACTGTATCGAGAATAGATTTTTTCACATCTTCCAGCCCACCAACATCCTCCCATTTGACATTGGGAACCTACAGCCGAACAACTAAGACTTATTAGAGGGCTGAATGCCACTAATCCACTAAAGTTCGAATTCTTAACAGAAGATAAATAGATCTTACAACATATAAAGCGGCATATCCGGGTCAGTACACACCTTGGGAGTCCCGAGAGCCGAGGCATTTCTTTTCTTTGATCGCTCCAATGCTTTGACCATGAATTCTTTGCTGTTTGTCGAACTAACATCCTTTGGTGGTTTATCCTTCTCAAAGCTACTGATATTAGTAGGAATCAGAGTTGAACTAGCATCAGCAATTAAAGCCCGAATATCCCTTGGCATGAACCCAGATGTCTGTCCAACCATATCTTTTACAAGATCCTCCGGAGAAGTCTGCAATGGCCAATATCTTATCCATTAGATTCAACAATCATGGCCCACAATTTTAAGATAAGTATAAAACCGAACCACACGAACACAATGTATCCCACCCAGAGGTGGGGTCTTTAGGGGTGCGTTTGGTACACTAGACAGGACATAACAGAGTAGGAATCACTGTTCAACGTTTTTCTATGTGGAACAGAGTGGAAAAAAGTGGAACGGACGTGTTCCCCCTCCCCCCGCCCCCATCCCATGGAACATGGTGGAACAGACATATATTTTTACCAATATAACCTTAGAATAAAACTTAATTCTCTTCTAAAACATCAAATACGCCTCCTGCTTTACATTTTGTTCATTCTTTAAATTAAATTTATTGTATTTTACGCTCTTTAAACTTTGACTTTACTGTCTTCAAAATATTATTTTCATATGGTTTCTATATTTTGGTTAATTTATGTAATTTTTTTCATATTAATAAGAAAAAATAATATAGAAAAAGGTATAAAATAAAAATTGGAAACTACTTGAACTTTCAATCGTTTTTGATGAGAGCCTCTAATAACAAAATATTTATTTTATTATAATTTACAAAAGGTAAATGATAAAAACTAGAAACTACTTGAACTTTTAATCATTTTGACGAGAACCTTCTAATGATATATTTTGTTATACAAAATATTTATTTTATTATAATTTAATAAATTATATAAATTAATCAAAATATATAAACAATTCATTAGGGGTAAATTGGTTAGTTTATCTGTTCTATCATGTTCAGTTCTGTCTTACCAAATATTGAACAGTTGTTCTATCATCTCCTATCATGTCTGGATACTAAATGCACCCTAGAGGGTCAAATGTACGCATACCTGACCTCTACCACAAAGAGTAGAACAGCTGTTTCCGTGAAAACCCCCGACTTGCGAAAAGGCGATAAAGAGAGAAAGTTGGATAAAATTTTAAGATAAATATATGTACATCAATTCTAGACCCTATAAGCAGAATCAAAGGAAAATAATATTCTTACTTACATCTGGAAGCAGTTCCGGAATATGTTGAAGTGACTGGGATAGCATTTCGACTCGCTGTTCTTCAGTCAAAGGTCCCATCTTCACTTCATGGCTGAAACAACGCCTTATAGAAGGTGGCAACCCTTCGGAATTATCAGCCACCGCAACTAGCAGCAATGGATGAGTATTCATTGCATGACTGCTGTTCATATGCTGCATAAGGGAATTGGTTTTCCATTAAGTCGTGTATGGATAAAGTTGTCTCTGTGAATTAATCTATCTGCATAGATTGAGAAATTTTTTGTGTGGGAGGGTTTTTCATAGATGGAAAGAGCGTGTTTTTAATTGGGAGGGGCAGGTCTGAAAAAAACTTGGCTTTCTGCATAAAGCTCTTGGCTCCCCCTAGAAGCTCATTGAATAAGCCATTATCTATATCATTAAGCCACTACCAAGCAATCATGTATAGCTGACCAAATAAGCTACAAGTCCCATTAAGCTCATTAAGCTTCTAACAAAGAGGCCCTAAGTGTATGGATAAAGATGCCTGTGTATTTTAATCTGTCTGTATAGATTGATAATTTTTTTGTTTGGGAGGGTTTTCCATGGATGGAAAGAGCGTGTTCTTTAATTGGGAGGGGCAGGTTGGGATAAAAACTTCTCTCTGCATAAAGCTCCCCCTAGAAGCTTATTGAATAAGCCACTATGTATATCATTAAGCCACTACCAAACAATCATGTATAGCTGATCAAATAAGTTGCGAGTCCCCTTAAGCTGCTAACAAACAGGCCCTAAGTTTCAGGTGTAACTATGAAATCTAAAATAATTAGAAGAGTAGGGAAACACTTATCGGGATGAATTAATAGAAAAGCTGAGGCAGGTTCAAATGAGAAACGTAAATATTTTGAGAACCCAGGAACCAACTATTCATGCTTAATCATGATGAATGTCATGATAGATATTCATGATGAAAATTATTCATAATGAACATATATAATATTTATGAACATTATTCAGGGTTATTCATTTTGTATAATACATGAAAAGTTGGTTCCTAAGTTCTCAAAACATTTATGATTTTCATTTGAACTTTCCTCTAAAACACCCAACACATAAAATGACTTTTCGAGTAACCAAAGGATGATAAAAGAAGTTGGCACAAATAATTTTCTTAAAATATCAACCTCCGCTTCTTCATCTTCATAATAATCTTCATTTGGGCTAAATGGCTCGGTGAATTCCCTGATGACAGATGCAACTTCAGAATGCACACCGACTTGATCATTTGGCGAACCATCATTAGAGCTCAAATTGCTAAAAGCGTCAAAATGACGGAGAAGAAGAATCGTTGGCGAGTATCTGCAATACAACCACATCAGGTATACAAATAACTCGGGATGGCTAACACCTTGCTTACATACAAAGAGTAGTTGCAATATGACCTGAATTATTAACATTAAACATATAATATCAATAATGCAATAATTCATCCTTGATTCTTTCTTCTTCTAGACATCGTTAGAAGTTGCATTGTATTTAGGAGTTGTTTGATTGGTTTTCCATTAATTTTTGTATGGATAAAACTGTCTGTGTGAATCAATACGTTGTACAGAGTGAGAAGGTTTTTGTTTATGAGGATTTTCTCATAAATGGAACGAGCAGGTTTTTAATTTGGGTGGGACAGGTTTGGAAAAAACTTGGCTTTCTGCATAAAGCGCCCCCCTAGAAACTTATTGAATAAGCCACTTTCTATATCATTAAGCCGCTACGAAACAATCATATATAGCTGAACCTCTTGTAACATAACTTTCATTTCTCCTTCATAAGAGAAGGATTCTGCTGCTACGGAATGGTAAGCAAAATGATGTTGTTTTCGGTTGTGGTTTACTGGTTTACACATAACGAGAAAAACATTCCATATTAATATGATGGTAAATACCTACGAGCCGCACTGAAAGCTTGAGCCAACATGGTAGAAGTCTTCCTCTCAGAAGATGCGACTAAATCATGACAATTATACTCGACCACATGCAACCCAAGTTGGCAAGCAACATGCTTCACAACAGTTCGCTTCCCACACCCTGCAAAAATACTGACTGGTTTAGCATAAACCAAACCAAACCAAACAAACCCAATATATTTCTCACAGAGGTAGGGTCTGGGAAGGGTAGGATATCATAAGATCCCACATTGGTTGGGGAGAGGAACAAAGGTTGCCTTATAAGGGGCTTGACACCTCCTCTATCAGACGTGTTAAAAACCGTGGGTTCAGGTGTCTAGACAAAGCGAACAATATTTGGTACGGTTCGCCTGGGATGTTACAGATGGATGGATGCAGGCCTTACCTCTATCCCAAGGGGACCCGCATCTTGCAAAAACAAAGCGAGCATGTCAAAATTCTCAAATACATGGAAGGCACCAAGCGGGTTCTTTTGCCATTGACCCTATGAACTTTTAGGATTCCTTGTGAGGCTATTAGAGCATCTGCAATAGAGCATATTGGAGAGCTTTTTGACCACATATGATAGTGAAAAAGCTACTGATAAAAAAAGTCACTTTTTGCTTGTAACTGCACAAGCTCTGAATAAGCTTTGCTAGGCCACCTAAGCATGTAGGTCCCACTTATTAAGCTCAAATAAAAAGCTTACCATTGTAGATGCTCTTACTTGTTCAAAGATCAATGACATTTGATCGAGTTCAAGCAGCACCAAACATAAACTCCATTAGAGTGCCTTTGGTACACTGAACATGATAGGACAGAACAGAATTGGGAACACTGTTCCACGTTTGGCAGAATTTTTATGTGGAAGAGACGGGAACAGAGTGTTACAGGCGTGTTCCACCCCCACCCCATGGAACAAGTTGGAACAGACTTATGTTTTACCGATATAACCTCAAAACTCAATACACCTTCCTCTTTATATTTTATTCATTTTTTAAAATTCATTTATCGTATATTATGCTCTTTAAACATTCACTTTACTTTGGTGTCACATTAATCGTCTTGACGAAAACTTAGTAATGATATATTTTGTTATATAAAATATTTATTTTATTATAATTCAATAAATTACATAACTAGTCAAAATATATAAATATATAAATACCTCTTAGGGGTAAAGTGGTCATTTTATCTAATTTGTCTTACCAAATGCTGAACAATTGTTCCGTCATGTCCTGATCTCTCTTGTCTGGATACCAAACACACCCTTATAGATTTTACACTTTTCTCAAAGCTATCACATTGTATACTGCAAAAATATATCATAGGAAGTCCAACAACAAAACGCACCAGGTAAACCAAACAAAAGAACAGCAACCCTGAATTTTGACGAAAGTGCTGATGGGCATAAAGTTGGTGTAATAATGGAGGCCAGGGTCTTTACTGCATCTTGATGTAAAGGAGCAAAACCTCTTTTCCCAGCAATTAAAAGATCCGGGGGAATAGCTGATGGAACACTTGCAGCAAGCACAAGAGCAGTTTCAGTGCGATTAATTCTAAGAACGGGTTCATCTGAAGGTTCGGCTGCAACCACCTAACAACATGAATATCTTATTCATAAGATAGTACCGTGAAGAAGTTAACAAGCATATCGGCATGGCAGCAAAATAAAAGGGAAACCGACAGAAATAACCATTTTCCACGGAACAATTCATCTCTTAGCCATTTCTCTCCCACTTTCACCCAAAAGCCACTACCTTTGCAAGTATCTGGGCCGCAACTTGCGGAGGGGCCAAAAATAATAAAAAAGACGAGTTTGAGGTGTACAGTGTAATTTTAAAAGGGTGTAAAATGAACCCATGCAAAGGGCTGCAAGAGCCCCCTCCGCAAGTGGAGAAATGATCCTTGATTAGGCATGGGAATGGCGCGGAGACCCCAATCCTCATCCCCGATTCCAATCTCTGTCCCCATCCCTGCTGGGGAATATGATCACATCCCCATCCCCATCAGGGAACGGGATCCCCAACAGGGAATCGGGGATTTTTTTCCTGTTTATTTGAGATAATTTAAATCAAATGTGTTAAACACTGTATTCGATCAATAATGCTTCATGTTTAAATCTCACATATTTCTAAAATTTTGCTTTTATGGAGAATCAAATATTCATATGTGAACAAAATCACAACATATCATACTCGTGGTTTCTGTGGGAAGTGCCCTTGCCACAACTGCCTCCTCCGAAGAGTAAACAAAAGTGCACTAAAAAAAAAAATCATCATTGCCCCCTCCCGCAAGTGAACAAAAGTGAAGTTCATTTTTTTAACTTATCAATGCCCCTCTGCAAGTTGCAGCAAGGGCACTTGCGAAGGTATCAATAAAATGATAAAAATCGGAGAGGGATGGCTAGGAGATGAATTGCATCGTCAAAATGGCTATTTACATTAATTTCCCAAAATAAAGTACCTTAAAGTATAGATTGGTATCACTTGGATGTTGCTTCTTTTGGCTACAAGGGATGCACATTGCTGATTTGCAATTCCAATTGTATGAGATACTGAAAAGATCACCTCTAGCAAGATATCTATCTATAGCAAAGTACTCATTTAAGGCCAAATCGATCTTTTCTTGACGATCTTCAGCTTCAATAGATGAACTTCCTATAAGAGATCCAATGGTACCACACTCGGGTATCTTTACAAAAGATACCCTTAAATGTGAGGCATACCTTAGTGGCTTTGTCAAAGGTTCAATATGTAGATTGATGGAAAAGCCCTCATTTGGTTCCCCGTTATCTTCACTCTTCCCGTTAACTTCAAATAGAGAAGCCAATTTCTCGTCTCCATGGTGAAGAAGCAATCTCAAGCATGAGGTATGCAAACCAAGATTATATGCTAAAAGAGGAGACACGTAAGCAACTTCTGTAAGAATTGGCACACGATGATTCGTAGGGAAACTATATGAAGGAAATAAGAGCATTGCATATGAAGAATCGTATGAGAATGATTCGTCATTAGATGAGACATCATGAAGATTCGGAGGATCAAGAACGACAACTTGGCTGACTCTTCGGATTTGGGAATCCACATTTTTTACAATCACCTAATATGAAGCATTAGAGAAAGAAAAAAAGTTAACAGGATACACTGAGACACCAATTCATGACCGTAAGAACAACTCTTGAGAACTTAGAATATCTAAAAAGGGAAATTGTCCAAAATAGCCAATTTCAAAACCCCCCTCTTCACTTTATAGCCAAGCCACCTTTTCAACTTAGTGACCGAAGCACTGAGCAACTTGCTTAACCCACTTTTTCAATATAATATTAAGAAAAAAGTACACATTACGCAAGTTGCGTAAATGCTACTTGTGTAATGTTTACGTGGACAAACAAAAAGTAGACATTACGCAAGTAGCACTTAGGTTAGTTTTTCATTTTCTGTATGGATAAACTGTCTTTGTCGATTACTCTGTCTGTATGGATTAAGAAGGATATTGTTTTGGAGGGTTTTTTCATAGATGGAAGGTGCATGTTTTTTGATTAGGAGGGACAGGTTTGAAAAAAACTTGGTTTTCTGCATAAAGCTCCCTCCTAGAATCTTACCGGATAAATCACTTTCTATATCATTAAACCACTACCAAACAGTCATATATAGTTCATCAAATAAGTTGAGTCCCATTAAGCTCATTACTTTGCTAACAAACAGGCCCTTACGCAACTTGCGTAATGTCTAATTTTCCAGAATATTATATTGCATAAGTGCTACCTGCGAAATCTCTATCTATTTCGGTCAGTTTGTTGAAAAAGTGGCTATAAGAGGGAAGGCGTGATCAGCTATTTCGAAAACAGAGAATCTTGAATACTATTAGAAATTCAGAAATGTACAAACTAAAGCTAATTTCTAACTTATTTTATGGCTCTGATATAACTAACTGCTAGACCTAGAACAAAACACAAACTTCCCATTTAAAGGAAGTATGGTATATATGATCATATGATGCAAAGCAAGCAACAATTTCTGAAACCGAGGGAGGTTCAGGAGTACCCCTAAAAAATGAAAAATGAAAAATGAAAAACTTGAGGACCAGGTAACCATTCATCATCTGGACGGTATGTTCATGCACATACAAGGGAAAAAAACCCTGAACCTCCCTTGATTTTCCCCTTAAATCGACTCTTCTGAAACCAATTGAAACCAATAAAGATTGAAATTGATCAAATCTTTTTCCTCAATGCTACTTGAAACTTTTAAAGATTCAGAAGAACAAATAAGAGAACGATTAGATTACCAGCGAACCAGAGGTAATAGAAAGCCTTTTGAGAAGTGAGGTAGAGAGTCCAATCAAGGCGGCATCGTCGAGAGAAGTCACCTTCTGCCCTAATTTGTTCTCCGACGATCGAAGAATACCCACACGCAACTGCAACATCGCCGGTGCAACGCCATCGCCATCAGAGCCGGAGTATTTGTTGATCCGAGCATCGTCAATTCCATTTATCTTCTCTTTATTGGATGAATTGAGAACGGAATTGAGAAGTAATTGTGTAGAAGAAAGCACGAGAGGCTTTCTTCTCCCCACCATTGAAGGTCCTGTGAAAACCTAGCAACTAATTGAACAGTGCTGAGATACCAGAGACGAAAATATATCCATAAATAAACAAGGGTTTATTGCGAAAATCAAGAAAGTATCTTCTGAGGAGGTTGACGCCATAACTGAAGTATTACAACGTAATCAATAGTCATCCTTTTAGACCCCCCTCCTTTCTTTTCGTTTTTCTGAACCATGGATTTTGATAACACTGCCACTACTTTTGGGATCGGATTTTACCTTGCAGCAAAATCTGTAAATAACATCATAAATGTAAAAAAAACATTTAAGTAACCGGATAACGGGTTGAAGTATTAACCGGTTATCATGTTGATGTAGTATCCGGTTAATATTTCAACAAATAATACCAAGTTGTATACCACATCATTATGGTAACCGATTAATGTTTCAACCGGTTACCCAAGTACTTAAATATTTAAATTTTACATCTTAGATACCAAAATCGATTATAAATGTCTAGTGTATTTACGAAAACTTGACTTTCATTTAAAAAAAATTAAGGATCCACATTTGTGTATCCCATGTGAAAAGATTTATTTTTTCTTGTTCTTTAATAAGAAAATAAGTTTTACATGAATATGTAAGACATTAAGATGACTAAAAAGAGAATTCGGTTACAAAAGTGGCTAAAAAGTGAATTTGGTTTAAGAGTATGTTATATCGGTGAGTTTCCCTTTTCAGCAAAAGGTTTGAATACCCACAACCCAACTAGAAACCATATGTGAGGAGATATTTCACAAGTTGAGGAAGTGGTTGAGGCTTGCAGAAGGGTTTAAGCCTGTGTCCGATGCACGTTTCCAGCAACTCCTCAAGGGAACCCCGTTTGTTGGACTGGGCAATGAAGGCGGCTTGAGGACCTGCTGGAACCGTGTCAAGAGATTTCAGAAAAATCTAAAAACTTTTCGGCTTTAGCTTGTACATCGTGAAATTGCTATAAAGGCTCGATGTTCATCTGAGACGAGAGAGTGGAAAATGAAGAACCCAGACCACAGAGGAACCAGTGAACCTAGTCAACATTTGCAATCGGGCATCCAGTAACAACGAGTTGATCACAATAGCCCTTAAATTGCTTAGCAAAATCAATAACAGTACGATCTTGTCGAAGAAGAGATTGAAGGGCATCCTTCACGTGGATCTCACGAGACATCAAGTGATGAACATAAACTACTTCAAGAGCATTCCAAACAATTTGAGTAGTGGCTTACCGTATACTTACTCAGTAAGTGCTTACTAGTAAAATTTAACACCATCAGTTACTTACCGGATAAGATTTTAGTCAACAAAAACGGCATTGTATGCAACGACTTATCCGGTAAGCGCTAACCGTGATAAGAGTCATCGCCCTCACTTACTAGATAAGACTCTCGATCCTTGTCTCGCTCTTACAGGGTAAGATTCTTGGTCCTTCCCATGTTAATCCAGTAAGATAATGTGACTCACTAAGCACCTACCCAGATAAGTGTTCAGTAAACAACCCCTAAAGAAGAGGGGCAAAAGCGGTCATGACAATAAGAACCTTGTGAGCTAGTTCAACTGACAATAAACCTGTATTTGAGAGGTTTGGTTAAATGAGGATCTTCCTTAAAGGCACGGGTACAAATCATACAAGGCCACTGAGGATTTCGGGGGGAACATTGTTCTCGACCCCCTAAAATTAGATCAGTCAAGGTACGCACAAGCCCGAACCCATGGTTAACAAAAAGTCGTTGCACTTATTTTGTCGCCTCTTATGTTTATCTACAAAAGAACATCATGATCGATGATTTAGGGATTACACATTCAACACCTACGCTTTCCCTTTTAAAAGGGAAGCTTCAAGAGATCGAGGATCAGTAATCGGAGCTTTACAAGCAAAATCTCGGCAAACAAGAGCCACCGCCTTTTCAGCAACCACATTACTCTTTGCCATGGCAGCAACATTCGGGTTCTTCTCCTTCCAAAATCCGATCTCTTCCTCGTCATTCGGGTCTATATGTATCACCTGATCATATAACAACAAACAATTAGGGCTATGTTGGACAAACCGGCTAAAAAGATGGTTGTTGACTGATAAAACTAGCTGATAAACTAGTCATTTTTTATAAAAACTAGCTGATAAGTTACATGAAATGACCTGAAAGGACATGTTGAGAACTTAATTGAAAAATATAGGATGATTGACTGAAATAGTCAATCCTATCAGCCAAATTCACTTTTTAGTCATTTTTCAGTGCCCCCAAAAAGTCAGAGATGCTTTATGCATTTGCATAATGACTGACCAAGACACGGTTTTTTGAAACTTATTGAAACACTGCTTGAAATAGTTTTTAAATAACTAGATTATAAACTAACCAAGACACAGTTTTTTTCAATAAGCTGAAAAATAAACTAGCTTATAAACTAACTTATGATTGACAAGCACTGTTTAGATGGGTGTTCGTGCTTGGCTCATGGCATGGTTTGACCTTAAAAGTCGAAAGTCAAATATGTTGACTTACTGTTTTGTTCAGATCATAAGATGCATGAACCGAAACAAGCATGCCTTCCATTTCGGGAGTCGCTTTCTTCCCGACCAAAACAACTTGCTTCTTTGACGGAACGGAGAGCATATCGGCAGCACAACACATTAACGGAACAGCCACCGGAGCTTCCTTTAACCTCTTTTCAAAGACAGCCTAACGGAACCAAATGATGCATAAGTTTTGAAGGTATTTTTCCTTCAAACTAAAAGAATTCACTTCATGAAAATCGGCTTTATAGATGTCTAAGGGGTCGTTTGGTTAGTTTTCCATTAAGTCCTATATGGATAAAGTTGTATGTGTGGATTAATTTGTCTATATAGATTGGGAAAGTTTTTGTTTGAGAGAGTTTTTTCATAGAAAGAAGGAGCATAGGTGCATGTTTTTTTAATTATGAGAGACAGGTTTCGGAAAAACTTGGCTTCCTGCATAAAGCTCTCCCTAGAAGTTCATTGAATAAGGGCCCGTTTACCAAACTCTTACTTGTTAAGCACTTACCAAAAGTCACGTACCTTATCGGGTGCATGACGAGGACCAAGAACTTACCCAATGGTAAGCACTTACCGGGTAAAACATGCTTACCAAAAATCCATTTTAATGACCAAAAATGTTACCTAATAAAGTAAATGTGGGTGGTGACTCTAGCGAGTAAGTGCTTACCCGGTAAGCATTTGGTAAACGGCCCCTAAGACCACTTTCTGTATCATTAAGTCAGTACCAAAATATCATGTATAGCTGACGAATAAGCTGCAAGTCTCATTAAGCTACTAACAAACATGCCCTAAATGTCTTAATAGACTGATTTATAGGATTTAAGTTAATAAGACCAAATAGGACCAAACAATTATGCGTTTTATGTAAAAATGTTATAATAAGTTGAGAAGACACTTTTGGACGTTCTAACAAATTTTTGGACTCTTTTGAAAAAAAAGTGTCCTAATAAAAAAGCTAGTATGATACTTCATTTCAAAAATGTCCTAAAAAACTTGTTAAGATGTCCAAATACGTCATATCATCCTAATGTAACACCTTTATATAGGACACACAATTATTTACTCCTGTAAACTTAAATCCTATAAAGCAACCTACTAGGACATTTAGGCATATTTGACGTCTTATAAAGCCGATTATGTTGTAGTGATTCCAGTCGAACTAAGAAAAATCAAACCAGAAGGTGCTCTGCATATTGTTTGTAACGATCGGATCTGGCTCCCGTGAACATGGACGCAAGCCGCACAAGATTCATTGCGGAAACCGAATTGCCAGATGGTTCAGCACCGTCATGGTCTTCTTTCACACGGAGAAGAACCGACTCATCTTCTCCCGTGGTATTAAAATAACCACCTCCGGTTTTGTCAAGGAACACCTCATCCTAAAAACCCGACAAAAAAGTGAGAATTTACGATCTTGGTTTGTTAAGTACGAAGAACTAGAAGGTAACCAAAGGGCCATCGGCCCGGTTGAACCCGAGTTACCATTAGAGCCCATCCTCCCAGGAGGACAGTGTCGGTATGCGTGAGTGTTTGTTGTGTATATATACAGAGTAAATCATGATTTTCGTCCCTGTGGTTTAGAAATTGCAATTTTCGTCCCTGAACTAATTCCTACCTCTAAATACAAGGACCAAAACAACAAAGAATTTTAAACCACATGGACCGAAAGAACAATGGTAAATCATAAGGACGAAAATAGCAATGAATTACAAACCATAGGAACGAAAACCGCAATTTTTTTTTGAACCATGGAGACAAAAAGCACAATTTTTAACAAACCACAAGGACGAAAAACATGATTTACTCGTATAAATATTGTGGAGGGAGATCCAGGGAAAAACCCCAAGAAATTGAAAAACTGAGGAACACCTTTACAACCACTCATTTGGATGGTATGTACATGTGCCTGCAAATAACTGAAGTTGTTTCTTGCATGTTATGCACGTGTGCATGCCGTACAAATTGCTTAGAAATGACTTGTATGCACATGTGCATACCGTCCAGTGTTCCTCTGCTTTTCACTTTCTTGCGGTTTTCCCCTGAACCTAACCTAAATTTTGTATACTTCCACAGAAAACGAAACAAAAAACTAGAAGGATCAAGAGCTCGAATACTTGTGTTTCTTGGAGTTCAAGTGCCCACGACAACCAAGAGATTTCACCACCGTACTCGTACACATCTAGCAACCCGGAAATCAAAAACGCGTAATCATCCAAGAATCCAGGCGCTTTCGAAGGTCCATTCCTGAAACTGTGTTGCAGCCTTCGGGATTGCTGATCGTAAAGATTTTCCTTTATGAATGACAATGCTCTCTTTGCAACTTGCATGTAATCCTCCGGCTTAATTGAGAAGAAAATAATCAATAATATGATCCACGTTTCTCAAATCGTTCCTCAAATAAGCACCGGAACGAAATTGGTTTTATAGGACGCCAAGAAGTCCTAAAAGACTGTTTTACACGGGCGTTTGGTACATTTGCCAGGACAAACAGAACAGGATCACTGTTCCACATTTGGCAGGACTTTTTCGTGGAATAGACAACAGGCATGTTCCACCCCCACCCCCATGGAACAAGGTGGAACAGACCTACCTTTATAACCTCAAAATAAAAGTTCATTCTCTTCTAAAACATCAAATCCACCTCCCTTTTTACATTTCATTCATTATTTAAATTTTTTTAATTGTATTTTATGTTTTTTGAACTTTCACTTTAATCTCCTGAAAATATTTTTTAATGGTTTCTATATTTTGGTTAATTTATGTAATTTATTTAAAATTAATAAAAAAAATAAAATAGAAAATGTATAAGATAAAAATTGGAAACGACATAAACTTTTTATTTTAGCATCATCTTGACGAAAACTTTTTACTGATATATTTTGTTATAAAAATATTTATTTTACTACAATTTAAGAAATTACATAAATTATTCAAAATTTATAAGAAGATATAAACAACTCATCATGGGGTAAATTGGTCATTTTATTTGTTTTGTCATGTCCAGTTCTGTCTTACCAAAGCTAAGCAGTTGTTTTGTTTTGTCCTGCCTGGATACCAAACGCACCCTAAATGAGCAAAGATTTAAATCTTTCTTTTTTGAAGATCCAATCTTACATTAGTTCCAGCAACAGGAAAGTGGAATTTTGTCCCGTCGGGTTCATTCTTGAGGATTTTAGATGCTCTAGCAAACGATGAAATCGCAAGCCCGTTCCATGATACAATGACCTGCAACAGTTGGCATCAATGACGAGAATTCATACAAAAAACAACGAACTTCATAGAAACTGATACGACCTTATCATCAAGATGGGGTCGAGGCCGCTTCGATCTCGCATCGAAAAGCTTTTTACGACTTACACCCAGAATCTCGTGATAATTCTCGAGTGGCATACCGAATTTCGATGCCATCACACTTGCACTATTTCTTTCAATGAGTACGTTTTTCCCTTCGAATTCATTGTGCGGATCACTCATCTGAGAAAGATCACAATTTCCCGATTTCTTGACGTAATAATGCTCCTTAAAATGAGTCGCATGATCTCCAACTATGTCATCAACCTTAACAAACATAAATACGTACCGGTGTCAAAAGTTGAAAATTTCTAAAATTTCAACATTAATTAGTAAAAATGCATTAAGATTGCTCAAGATCGAGAAAGAAGTCGACATATAGTTTCGGACCTCACTGTTGGTCCACACGTAAAACGCGCCTTCTTTTTTCTTTTTAGAGTTTTCAGATTCAGCACTATCAGCATCCTCGGCAGAAAAGATTTCGCCATTGGGTCCAATCATGTCTCTCCTCAAATAATCAAGAATATCACGAGCAACACGTGAGTAGAAGACGTCCTTCGTGATAGAAAAGACGTCAAGATACACGTTGGCAAGTTGACCTTGATCGTACAACATCTTCTCAAAGTGCGGTACTGCCAAGAATTTATCATAACATCAAAATCTCGATAAATACAATACAACAAAATCGGCTTTATATGACGCCAAAAATATCTAAATGTCCTAATAGACTGCTTTTATACAACTCAAGTTGTAAGATCCCACATCGATTGGGGAGTGGAACAAAGGTTGTCTTATAAGGGATTGGATACCTTCTCTACAAAACACGTTTTAAAACCATGAGTCCAGGTTTGGACAAAGCGGACAATGTCTGATACGGTTAGCATGGGATGTTACAAATGGTATCAGAGCGGGGAACCGAGCTGGTATGCCAGCGTCCTCGCTGGGCTCCCAAGGGGGTGGATTGTAAGATCCCACATCTTCTACAAGACTTTTTTTAAAACTGTGAGTCTAGGTGCAGACAAAATGGACAATATCTGGTATAGTTAGCCTGAGATGTTACATATGTTTATAAGACCAAAAAAGTATGTGTCCTATGTAAAGGTGTTACAATAAGTTTATAAGATTCTTTGTGCATTTTAACAAGTTCTTTTTGGGGACTTTTGAAATAAAGTGTCCTATCAAATAAAGTCATATAAATAATTAATAGGGCGCTTCCTAAAAAACTTATTAAGACACCCAAATGCATGCCATCAACTTATTGTAAACATTTACATAAGACACAATTGTTTGGTCCTATAAACTGGTCTCGTAGAGTAGTCTATTAGGGCATTTAGACATTTACGGCATCCTATAAAGCCGATTTTGTCTGGTATTAATGGAAAAAGATAATCTAATGGTTTTTCGTGTAAAATACCAACCATGCCAGCATTCATCCACGCTGTAACGGTGAAAGCCGCCCCCAACATGATCATGGACCCCACCTCTTGCCATGCATTGCAAGCTAAAGGACACCATTTTCAGATATTCTTCGGCTTCACCTGTTTTTCCCGATTCCTCCAATTTCTTTGACCGATATATCATCGATTGAGGCTCAGACGGCCGGGGAAACTTGGGGGCGGAACCAAATCCACCGAATTTTGGATCATAACTTTCAGCAAGCTAAAAGGAACAAAAATTAATATTTAAGATCACATATATCTCACGAAAATAAAGCAACATTAGTCGTTTACAGCTTTTGTGCACTCCCGTAATGCAGTCTGCGCAAGTCCGTCGGACAATTTGTCGGATATCGCACTAGAAGACAACGCTTCCGATAATTGTTCGATGGCAAATGTTCCGCTTTTAACAAGCACATCCTTCTTACTCTCCCAAGCTTCTTTCACTTTTCTGCAAGAACAATAAACGGCCAATTCTCGATATATGCATAATTTCGAGTTTAAATGTAGTTCCGATGGCCAAAAAAAGTTTAAAATGTGTCTAGAAAACTTTAACTTTTGCCATCAAATGAACTTCCAAATCCAAGGATACTTCCACAAACTTAGGGGGCGTTTGGTTCGCAAGACGTGTTCTGAAGAAATGGAATCTGTCAAAGGAATTGGAATCTGAAAGGTACTGGAATGGAATGTTATAAGGTTTGGCCAAGTGTTTGGTTGGCAGGAAATGGAATGTAAAAGGAATTGGAATCTGAAAGGTACTGGAATGGAATGTTATGAGGTTTGGCCAAGTGTTTGGTTGGCAGGAAATGGAATGTAATATGTCAAATGAATTAGTATTTTTTATGTTCGGTTCGTAAAATGTAGCTTAGGAATTGGAATGAAATAATGAATAATGACTAACATACTCTTTCTTTGTATTTGCAATTTATTTTTTTCTAAAATTATAATAATAATAATAATAAAATAAAAAACGTAAAAGAATATGTAAATCACCATTTATTATATCAAGTCTAAATTACATATATTATCTACATCATATGGGGGTAGTTTAGATTTTTTGATAAAATAGTCACGAATGGAATTGAATTCCATCTCATTTGATTTGGAATGACCAAATCCACAAATGGTGGAATGCATGAAATCCGATTCCGTTCCATATCTAAACCAAACGCAAGAATGGAATTTGGTCAACGGAATTGACCATTCCAATCCTTCAGATTCCAACCAAACGGGGCATTAGCATCAAGATTTTCTTTTTTTGTGGTCGCTAATTCTCTTCACGTACATGATTTATGAATGCATGAAATTGAGTTCAAATGTAGCCCTTTTGACCGAAAAAGTCAAACTACACCGAGCTTTTTATAGAGAAATCCAGTAGAAAACTAAAACACATTACAAACCTGAGCACGGTTTTAAACCCCGGCCTCCCATACTTATCATCAGGCGGGAAGTAGGTTCCACCCATCAACGGCTTTAAATCGGGAGAAAGGAAGACACTTAATGGCCACCCGCCACCACCATATAGAGCTTGGACATAGGTCATGTACACCTAAAAAGCACAAGTTTCAAGAAAACTCACAAGATTCCGTTATTTTGTCGTTATTAAAGGGAATTTGACCAAAATAGACAATCTCCCCAACCAACTTCACTTTTTAGCCACTTCTGGAACCAAATTCTCATTTTAGCAAGACTTTACGCAAATGCCTTATGCATTTGCGTAAAGCCTATTATCAGATTAGGAAAAAGAAAAAAAAAATCTTTACGCAAATGGGGATCCTTATGCAAAAATTGAATCCTTACACAAATTTGTGTGAAGACTTTTTTTCCTTTTTCTTTTTAATGAAAATCAAGTATGCAAATGCGTAAGACATTTGTGTAAACTCGGGCTAAAATGGGAATTCAATTGAAAAAATGGCTAAAAAGTGAATTTGGTTGGGAAAATTGGCTATTTTGGTCAATTTCCCGTTATTAAATGGTATTTTAGGCAGTTTCATAAACCTATATGCACGTTTTACATGACGCCTAGCATCGTCGAGTGTTCTACATGATTAAGTGGCATTGTTGTTTGATATCCGTAAAGAATAAGATTATATCCGTTCATATCATCTTTAAACATTTTTCATCCTCCTTTTATTAATTGTTGGTCTCCATTGGACCATTTCTACTCACCTAGAGCAAATGCGACCTACAAAATAGAACCCACAAAGTAGGCAAAAGAAAACGAATAGAGCCTAAGCATGCAAAGACTTTGTTACGGTCAAATTCATAGGAAGCCCGCCTTTTATTTTTTCTTTTATCCTCATCCCATATCAACAAGACTCGTGTAATGAAAATGTTACAAGATGAGAACGGATAGCAACTAAGCATGCCAACACTTGGGTGTGATGGTCAAATACATAGGAAACTCCTTTACCTTATCCACATCCGGTCGTTCTTCACGATCCACCTGTTTGGAAAGCAAAATTAAATTCAAAAAACTTTAGCTACTCCAATCGGATTTTGGAGTCGTGTGTAAGAACAAAGCCATGTCATTCCATCCATTATCAGTGGTTTAATTAGAATATCATCCGTTCAGGGTTTAAATTCCCTATTTCTAGAATGACACTTAACGTCATAAGAACAAAATGGCATATATATATATATATAGAGAGAGAGAGAGAGAGAGAGACTCAGATTGAGGGGTAACCAAAAAATGGAAAAGTGAGGAACACCCTGATAAACTATTCATGTGCATCTTGGTTTCTATGCATGTGTGCATAGCGGACAAATGAATGATTATCAGGGTGTTCCAAAAAAATGGAATTGGAAAACTAAGGAGCACCCTGATAACCATTCATGTGTATCCTAGTTTCTATGCACATGTGCTTTTAATGCACATGTGCATAGCGGACAAATAAATGGTTATCGGGGTGTTCCTCAGTTTGCCCTTTTTTTTGTGGTTTTCCCATGAACCCAAAATCCCAAACCCTATATATGTATATATATTTTAAGAATCAATCTCGTTAACCAAGAAACCACTCACCTTGATACTAACAAACCAGTCATTAAGCAATTTTGCAACCCCATCATCTTCAAAAGATTCTACCTCCATCACATGACACCTTCACAAATCATCAGCCATAAGTTATCAGCCATGTTGTTCCTTATAACGGTCTAAAAAACAACTAAATGATACATCTTCACGATAATTAGTAGTGCATGGTAATGGCAAGGAAGGAGATACTTGATCAAATTCTGAAATCAACATGACTTTATGTCCATTTTAAGAGACTGTTTTATTCATATTATTTTTATACTCTTCTCTATATTCAACCCTACTATTTGAATTCAAATTTGTTAACTATATATACATATAGAGAGGGAGGCTTAGGGGAAACCCCCAAAAAATGAAAATTTGAGGAACACCCTAGTAACCATTCATCTGGACGGTATGCACATGTGCATACAAGTAAATGAAGTTGTTTCTTGGGTTTTATGCATGCATACATGTTATGCAAATGGGCATACCGGATAAATTGCTTACAAATTACTTGTATGCACATGTGCATACCGTCTAGATGAATGGTTACTGTGGCGTTCCTCAGTTTTCAGTTTTTGTGGGTTTCCCCTGAACCTGACCATATATATGTAGGGTTGGGTTCAGGGGAAAACCAAAATAATTGGAAAATTGAAGAATACCCTAATAACCATTCATTTTTCCGGTATGCACACATGTATAGAAGCCTAGAAATATTTTCAATTACTTTTATGCACATGTACATACCGGACAAATGAATGGTTATTAGGGTGTTCCTCAGTTTTCCACTTCTTTTAGTTTTCCCCTGAACCAGAGTTTATATATAGTAAGAGTGAGATGGAGCATCATACGAGAAGTGCGAGCAGGGTAAAGGTGACTCACCAATGACAAGTACTATATCCAACTTCCAAGAAATAACAATCCATGGCCAAACAAAAGCATCATATATTAGTCTCTTAAATCAACTAAATTTCATTTAGGGAATGGGTACCAAAAAAAGGACAACATACTTGATAAGAAAATGGGCACATCCCTCTCGCGAGCTTGTTTGAATGCCTCTTCACCCCATGGGTACCAATTTACCTTCAAATTTCAAAAAAGAATGAAATCTTTTTCAGATCCTATACTTCTTTTTTAAATTCAAACAAATCCCAGTAAAATTATCAAAGCAAAATACAATATCCAAAGCAAATTTTGAAGAAAACTAGCATTTAATGAAACAAAAAATCAAAACTTTATCACATTAATGATCAAGATTATTAAATTCAAACAAAATCCTGATAAGATCATAGGGAAAAACCACAATATCTCAAGCACCCATAAACAATGGCAGCTATCTTACACCCAAATATGTAAAGATGTCTTGATTCCTAGAAATCACAGCACAATAACACAGTATCCAAAGTACACATTAATGATCAACATTATTGAATTCAGACAAAAATCCTGATAAGATCATAGAGCAAAACCACAATATCCCAAGCACCCATAAACAATGGTAGCTATCTTACACCCAAATATGTAAAGATGTCTTGATTCCTATAAATCATAGCACAATAACACCGTGTCCAAAGTACACATTAATGTCAACTGCATACACCAAAAGGAAACTTGATAAGATGCAAACTTTCTTGGATTCAAATGATCTTTCACCAAGATAATGCAAAACAAGAAGAATCTCCAAAGAACCCATTAATTTTACATAAATTGTCTTTGAAAAATAAAACTAGATTCAGGGTTATGATCATGTTGAAGAAGATAAAATCGTGTTCTAAAGCAAATATGATTATGAAAAGAGTACTGAAAGGAGTCTGATCTTTTTCAGGCATGTCAAAGACTTTGATTGGTGGGTTAAGAACTGATAAAACCATAGAACAATCAACAATAACCCAATATGCCAGGTACCCAAATAATTATCTTTACTAAAAATTATATATGCATACACATATATAGGGTTTGGTTATGGGAAAACCGCAAAAAATGAAAAACTTGAGTCAGGACGGTATGCACGTGTGCATACAAGTAATTTGTAAGCAATTTGTTTGGTATGCACATGTGTGTTATGTGCATGCCTTCATATACTTGTATTCCTCAATTTTTCATTTTTAGGGTTTTCCCAATAGATATATTTGTGCCACATATATAAAAAATTATTGAAGTATCGATAAGCTATTGTATAAAGATAAAATCATAGAACAACCAACAAAAACTGCAGTCATTTTAGCATTTTATGCCCAAATATGAAAAGGGTTTTGGACTCCAACATATTCTCAATAATCATATAGCACAATGACACAGTATATACTGAAAACTGCAGTTAATTATGTAACCTTTCTTGAATTCAAGCCAAGTCCCAGTAAGATAAAGGGCAAAAATAACACAACATCCATAGAAACCAACATAAATTACTGATATATACACACACATATATATATGTATAATTACAGGGTTATGAGCATGCTGAAGAAGATAAGGGCTGTGTTCTGAAGCAAGACGATTAGTATGCTTGTTTTGATGAGATTGCTGGCCAGAAGTTGAGGTTGCAAAGGTCTGATCTTTCCCAGCCATGGCAAAGACTCTGATTGGTGAATTGAGAGATGATGATGGTAAGAGGAAAATTGGGCGAAATTTGAAGGGTGAATTAGGGTTTATATGGATGAATTTTGAAGAAGAAGATAGCAATCTTCTGAGCATAGAATTAAAAGTATGTGGGTTGGTGCCAAAATAGGAGTTTATGGAGCAGTGAGTTGCTGAACGTACAAGAAGATTTCTTGTTGTCATTTGGGGATATTGAGAAGTGGGAAATGGGTTTGGTTAATTTGATTTGGTGTCAACGAACCCCTATTGCCACGTGCAGATGACCAAATCACAAATGTCTTTTTGTAGGTATCTTACATCTTTCTTTTCATTTCATTGGTTATTTTTTTTTAATGTTTTATTTATCTTCTAAATAATTTAGGAATTATTTGGTAGTTGTTGAATTTTTTTGTAGTTGTTGAATGGTTTGATGCGGAATGATTAAATGATCGGAATGATTAAGAGGCTCTCGTGATACAGTACAAAATAAAATATAATTATTTGGTAATTGTTTTACGATGAAATTAAGGCGTTGAATAGTTAAGGGAAGTTCAAGATGTAAAATCATTCAGATGATTTTAAAACCATTAAAATACATTTTTTTTTTTGCAAACAATATTCACCTCTTAACGATTCAAAAATCGTCTTTTAATGAAACTACTAAGAGATAAACAAACAACCCATTAGGTCTGTTTAGCTCATTTTGAGGAATGAAAATGACAGAGAATACATTTTCATTCCTCTCAGTTTAACCATGAATGAAATTTTGGGCTTCTGGATGAATGAACTCATTATATTATAAAAAAGCAAACAATTTTTTATAATTTCATTTTCATTGATTGCTGCTTAATACCTATAACCAAACACCCTCTTAAATTTTCTTTTTAATGTCTCTATGCAAAGGCTTACTGTTACATCAACGTTTTTTTGTAAATGACATCAAAAAAGTTGTACAAAGGTAATTGGTTTTTCATTAAGTCTTGTATCGATAAATAAAATTGCATGTGTGAAATAATCTAACTATATAGATTGGGAATTATATGCCTGGAAAAAGAAACTTTGTTTTTCTGCATAAAGTTCCATTAGAAGCTTATTGAATAAGCCAATTTCTATATCACTATACTACTACTAAACAATCATGTGTACTTGACCGAATAAGTTGTGAGTCTCGTTAAGCTCATTGAGCTACCAACCAACGAGCTCTTAAGTCTTGTATGAATAAAAATTGTTGGATTAATCTGTCTCAGCAATTCATCCAGTGACTTCATGGTCGGAAAAGAAGTTGTTCACGAGACGAGTCATGGGACATCTGTCAGTGTATAAATTGAGAAGGTTTTTGTTTATAAAGGTTTTTTCATTGATGAAGGGGGCGTGTTTATTAATTGGGATAGACAGTTTTGGAGAGAGAAAAAAAACTATATTTTATGCATAAATCTTGGTTGTGCCAAAAAAACAACCCCCCTAAAAACTTACAAAATAAGTCACTTTCTATACATCATTAAGCCACGTGTATAGCTGACAAAATAAGCTACGAGTCCTATTAAGCTCGCTAAGTTGCTAACAAATAAGCTCTTAGTCATATTGGATTGATTGTTACCAGTAATTTTTAATGTCAGATTATAATTTTTTGTTGATTGGCACAAACATGTAAAAAAAGTATTAGGAGCAATAATCTGTAAATTAAAAATTTACAGTTGATAACTGATTATAGGAATGTTTCAAATATAAGGAAACATTTTTGAAAAAAAAAATGAAATGTGTGAAGATATCTGAGATTTAAAAAAAACTGAATTGGTTTGACTATGTTCTGGCATAACAGGGAATGAAATTTGAAATCAATTGAAATTTGACTGAATTCAACTGAACCAAACAGTATCAAGAATTTTGGTTAAAAGATTTATCATTCCAATTTATGGAATCAAATGAGATATATCGGAGTCTAGAGATGGCAAAAAACCGTTCCCAGGCCAGGACCGATTGATCTTCCTTTTGTAACGGTCCCATTATAACCGATCCAGGTTCTGGTCTCGATAAAAAACAACCAACATGTTTCCCATGTACAAAGATTGGTTCCTATAAGGCTATAACCGGTCTCGGTCCTGGGCCGGACCCAATTATGTCCAATTTTTTTCTTACAAAAATCAATTTTAAACGTATAAAATCTTTATTTAAAGATTTTTTTATTATACATTATTGAAATAACTGTAAAATTTCCATTTGAGTCATTTAAATACATTTTAAGGGGTTGTTTGTTTACCTCTTAATAGTTTCATTAAGTGGCAATATCTGAATCGTAAAGAGGTGAATTTAATTTGACAAAAAAAAAATATGCCTCTTAATGGTTCTAAAATCCTTTGAATAATTTTTTATTCTAGACCTCCCTTAACCATTCGGTATCCTATTTAGTTGTAAATAATTACCAAACAATTATATTTGATGTTGCACTATATCATGAGAGTCTCTTAATTATCATGACCACTCAACCATTTTACACCAAACCATTCAACAACAACCAAACAATTTTTAAATATTTTTCACATAAAAGTGTTATAATTGTTTATAGGGAAAATTGCACCAAAATGGAACCAACTTTCACATGATTCATATTTTGGGGAACGAACTTTCCAAATCGTCATTTTGGGGAACCAACTTTCACCTGATTTATATTTTGGGGAACCAACTTTCAAAATCATCATTTTGGGGAACCAACTTGCACCTAATTCCTATTTTGGGGAACTAACTTGCAAAATAATTATAGAAAAATGGGAAAATTACACCAAAATGGAACCAACTTTCACCTGATTCCTATTTTGGGGAACCAACTTGCAAAATAATTATAGAAAAATGGGAAAATTACACCAAAATGGAACCAACTTTCACCTGATTCCTATTTTGGGGAACCAACTTTTAAAATCGTCATTTGGGGGTCTCTATCGAACTTTTTGTTTATTTAAGGGTCTGATTGATCAACAACAAATAATTTGAGAGTCTATATCAAACTTTTGGTTGGATTTGCCAAATTTGATTTAAACTTTAATATTGACATAGATTGGTTAGATATAAAAATATTGAATGTGATATTTAATATTTATTTTTTATTGCATCAATTAATTTTTTTCTATTAAATTGATTTTTTATTGCATTAGTAAAAAACAATTTTTATCGTGGTAATTTGGATTTTTTTCGAAAAATCTTCAATTTGATATCTGAATTTAAAAAAACGAGATTTGAAATGAAAAATAGATTTTATTGCATTAATTTTTGAAAAGAAATGAATTTTAGTTATTTTTTTATAATTATTTTGCAAGTTGGTTTCCCAAAATAGGAATCAGATGCAAGTTGGTTCCCTAAAATAACGATTTTGAAAGTTGGTTCCCCAAAATAGGAATCAGGTCCAAGTTAGTTTCCCAAAATGACGATTTTGAAAGTTGGTTCCCCAAAAGAGGAATCAGGTAAAAGTTGGTTCTCCAAAATAAAAATCAAGTGAAAGTTGTTTCCCAATCTAGCCGGGCCGGTTTAGTCATCTGTAATTGTGTGGTGGAGATTGATTTGACGAGCGTATTTGTGCTTGGGCTGAATTGTAGTAACAAATTTTGGGCAATCGCATTGGGCCGTGATGAATCGAATTCAAGGGGTTGTTTCTGTTTGATCGGCAAATTGAAGGCGGTGGTTTACACTTTACATTTCCACTTTGATTTCGTTCTATAATTCGAATTCGCACACGTTATCTTCGATATGCCAATCTCTGTAACCAAGCTCGGAAGTTCGCTTCCATTCTCCAGAATTTTTAGGTATTCCCTGATTCCAATATGTGTGTTTTACTATGTGTGTCCATCAAATTTACTTTTTTCTTCAATGACTGATTGTTTGGTGCTGTTAACGTTATTCATTTCGATTGTGATATCCTGTTTAACATCGGTTATGAATCAGAACTGTGAATCGCTAGTAACTTTGCACCATTGTTTTAAATTAATCTGGAGTATTGGCGGTTTACTGATTCTGTCATTCGAAGTAGTTTGTTAGGGTTTTGTGTTTTTCAATGTTAAACGTCGGTAGAGAGGCTATTGCATTCTGTTGTATGTAATCTTATCCAATTTTATTGAAAAACATGAAGAATACTTGTATGAATTTATGGTTAATTCTGATCGTTGATGAAATGAACTCGACAGGCATGTTTTGTAAATCAAGGATTTCCGTTGAAGGATCTGTTTATTAGCAGCTTAACGAGCTTGACGAGACTCATAGCTTATTTGGTCAACTATACACTGACTATTTGTTATTGGCTAAATATATAGAAAGTGGCTTGTCTGTTTGTTAGCAGCTTAACGAGCTCTATGAGACTTACAACTTACTTGCTTAACGATACATGGCTATTTGTTAGTGGCTTAAAAGAAAGTGGCTTGTCTGATTGTTAGCAGCTTAACAAGCTTAACAGACTTACAACTTATTTGGTCAACTATATACTATTTGGTAGTGGCTTAATGATGTAGAAAGTGGCTTATGTAATGTAGTAAGCTTATGGGGGAAGCTTTATGCAGAATTCCTTTTTTCCAAACCCGTCCCTTGTAACTAAAAAATACGCCCCTTCCATTTATGAAAAACCTCTCCCAAACAAAAACATTCTCAATCTATATAGATAGATTAATCCACCCAGACAACTTTATCCATATAGAACTTAATGGAAAACCAACCAAACAGCCCAAAGTGTTAACTGGAAGTCTGGAATAAAGCAGGATCAAGATTTGAACAAATGAACTTGAAAATCCAAATCTGAATGCACACTGTTCAATTGGAATTGCACCATTGTTCAAATTGATGATTAACTGCCATTTATAACCATTTCCTGAACACAGAGGTTAAAATGGTAATTTGTTGTCATTTGGACTGTCCATTCAGAACAATTACCAAACAACCATATTTCATTCTGCACTATATCATACCGAGCCTCTTCATCATTATGACCACTTATTCATTCTGCATCAAACCATTCAGCAACCGCCAAACAGTCCAAAACTACTTGAATTTGGTGTTCAAGGTCCCAAAATTCTTATATATAATATATATATATATATATATATATATATATTGGTTAACCTGGATGTCCAACCCACTATGCGAGCCGACTAATCCCAGGGCGACCACCCGCTTCACGGGTAGCCGGGGGTCACCGCATTTGAACCTCCGTGGCCATCGGGGGATTTTTATTCCTAATTGGATTCGAACATGGGACCTCCAGGCACTTTTGACCTCTGGAGCACAAGCTCAAACCAATCAGGCACCACCCTTGTGGTTCAGTCTTCTTATATTTATGGACCATAATTTACAACTTCAACCATATTCATTTTCTTTTACAGGCATGTAGAGCAGGAGATGGAGACTGTGGTTAAAGTACTTCAACCTGGACCTTTGGGAATTATAGAGCACAAATTTTCTGCCGAGGAGATTGTGAGCGCCAATGCTACTGTTAAGAAAGCGGTAGAGAATTGGAAGAGGAATGCAATTGTAGAACGAAATAGACCCATCTTGAAAGATTATCTTAATTGATGACATATTTTTGTTCATACTTTCTTTGAAATATTCTGATGCGAAGAATAATTCTGTACAATTGTAAGCTCTCACCATCCTTCATTGTGGTCATGGATGATTCTTGCTAACAATGATTAATTATATGTCTTTATTCGCTTGTTTCTTTAGTGTATTATGCTGAATGTCATGTCTTTGTCGGGTATTTTATCCAGCCTTCAATTATGAAGGGATTTGTGAGTGGATTAATGAGCTCAATGGCTACTGGTTAGTGGCATGACTTGGGGGCTGTTTGGTTGGTTTTCCATTAAGTCCTGTATTGATAAAGCTGTATGTGTGGATTAATTTGTATGTATCGATTTAGAAGATTTTTGTTGGTAGAGTTTTTTCATAGATGGACGGAGCGCGTTTTTTGATTGGGAGGGCTAGGTATGGAAAAACTTGGCTTTTTGCATAAAGCTTCCTTCTAGAAGCTTACTGATTAAGCCACTTTCTATATCATTAATCCACTACCAAACAATCATGTATAGCTGACTGAATAAGCTGCGAGTCCCATTAAGCTCATTAAGCTGCTAGCAAAGAGTCCCTTATTGTTTGTTTCATTCACAGACCAATTATGATGTTCGAAGACAACATTCATATGATCGTATCTTGTTCCTTCATCCTATTTTCAGTTCCATTGTCTTGATGTTTTCAATCACTTTCAGAAAGATTCATGTCCGTTTTACAGTTGTGATTTGTGAATATTGCTTATCTTCTGTAGTATGATAAGTTACAGCTATTCTCGATCATATGTATCCATACAAGTTCATTCGTTCCAGGTTCTTTTTTGAAAGAATGTTTGAATCGGCGCATTAGGAGTCTGCACGGGATTGAACACAACAAAGATCGCCAGAAATCAGTGGAAAAAGCTGGTTGAGGATAGCAATCAAGTTGGCATGGCAATCTTCTGGTGAGTACCTATATGTTACCCCTTGTTTTTACATAATGCATAAATTTATGAATGCTCTTTATGTTAATCATGATTTTAAAAAGTGTTATACGCATCAAGGTGAGGCGCTGGAAAATCAGGTCTGAGGCGATGCCTCTCATGGGTTAGTTGAGCTGTATGCCTTGAGCCACTGAGGCGGGCCTGGAGGCTCCTCAGGCGTGAGGTGTTGCTGAGGCGGGATTAGAAATTGACTTACTAATCTGACCTTCTTATAAAATAAACCCATTTTCTTGCTCGTCTTCTCCTAGTTTTCATTTGTCATCTTCAACGTCTTCTCTAGTCTCCCAATTTTAAAAGCATCATGTATGTATATATTTTATTTCCCACTTCTCCAATTTCCCATTTTAAAGAGTATATTGTAGGTATATATGTGTGTGTATATATTATTTCTTTTCCCGTCTCCCACTTTGTTTTATTTAGTGTGTGTGTGTATATATAGGCGAAGGATCGTGTGAGAATAGGAGTTAAGGTGAGAAGTGTAAGAAGGGATTTGGACCCTTGATCACTTTTAATTAGTGTTGATCTAATGGTTTAGATAAAGTCTCAAAATAACCCATGAATTAGCTTAGAATGGTATTTTCAATTGATATTCATTTAGGATTCATCCGAGGGTGGAGATCCCTTCTTACCATTCTCACGATTACTATTCTTATTGGAAACGAACTCTCTCTCTCTCTCTCTCTCTCTCTCTCTATATATATATATATATATATATATATAGCCGCCTCGGGGCTTATGCCTCGCCTCATTGAGGGAAAATGCCTCGAGGCTCGATTCCGCTTTTTAAAACCTTGATGTCAATTGTGTAACATAGAGGTGATACATCATACATATAATAATTTAGGAAAACTGTAGCGGGATTTTATAGGCTAACATCTGCCACAAGACCCAGAGTCCCAGATACACCACTGAAGCTTTACAGTTTTCCAACATAAAAACAAGACACTGTTTATTTAATCCGTCAGCTATTATCTTAAGACTTAAAACCATGTATCATTTACCTTGTCAGTATACGGGCTAGGTATCTCTGCATATGGAGCGTCATCATCTCTTTTGCGCCACCTATCAGATCTTGCCCTACAAATACAGCCGGTACACTTGGTTTACATCCTAGTGCGTTCAGCTGCCTCTCCAGTTGCTGCCCGTTAGGATGGCTGTCTAGCTCATAAACCGTGGGATTTACCCCATAGCTGTAAATCAACGTCTTAATGGTGTGGCACATACAACAAGAACTTTTACTAAATATGACCACTGGCTTTTCAGCAACCAACCCTTCAACCATGGCCATTATCTTACAATAACACTAACTATGCCTACATAAAAAGATGGACACAAAGAGGTTTTCAGAAGTGAGAACGATAAATAGAGATTCTCAAATGTTTATTATGTGAATGGACCCCTGCTTTGAGGAATTTGGGACTTGGATGGACACTATCTATAGAGTTTCAAGGCCATAACATTGACTTTGATGATATAATGGAAAAAATGTTCTTAGAAAAGACGGTTCAACTGTTTAGAGATTATTCTTGGCTTTATTGAGATGGCGCACTTGGTAGCGTGCACGTTATTGAGAGCATTTGTTTTTTAAAATGAGAAAATTTGGAGGAGGAATATATGTTGGTACACAAGAGAGAATATGTAACATCCTAGACCAACCGTACCAGATATCGTTCACTTTGTCCACTCCTGAAATCGTGAGTCCAGATGTGGACAAAATGGACCATATCCAGTATGGTTGGCCTGGGATGATATAGATGGTATCAGAGCCGGGAACTGGACTAGTGTGCCAGTGAGGACACTTGGCTCCCAAAGAGGATGGATTTTAAAATCCCACATCGGTTGGGGAGGGGAACAAAGGTTGAATTATAAAGGATTGGATACCTCCTTTATCAGACGCGTTTTAAAACTGTGAGTCCATGTATGGACAAAGCGGACAATGTGTGGTACAGTTGGCCTGGGATATTACAGATGATATCCGGGTAACATACTAGTGTGCCAACATCCTTGCTGGGCTCCCAAAGGGGGTCGATTGTAAGATCCTACATCAGTTGGGGAGGGGAACAAAGGTTGTCCTATAACGGACTGGACCAGTCCCGTGCAGGTGTTGACAAAGCGGACCATATTTGGTACGGTTTGTCTGGGATGTTACAGAATAAGATGATCATCCTTGGCATCCTTATCCTTTACAGGCTTTTTCAGATATTCTCTCTTAGTAGTCACTTCCTGATCCCTATTCAAGTATGTCAACAATGCTCCTCAACTCACATGGCTATTTGAGATCATATAAGAAAAAAAACCAAAAAATCTTGATACATATAAACATAATGAAATGTAAATCTTTAGGGTAGCGATGAATCCCTCTTTTGGGCATCTGAAGAGGTGGAGATCATGTAGCGTTTTGTTCCCTATATCGTATGATTCCCACCGTTTTAGTTTAAGAAACCGAAAGTTAATACTTAATACATTGAGAAAGAGAAGTGGAATATTGACATAGTTAGATGCTTCTTTGAGCATCATAGCTAAATTATATATGCATAAATTGATTCTTTCTGTTTAAAGCATCAGATGGTTGGTTATCGATTTGGATAAGATTTAGAAGCATATTAGATTAGTTTATCTGATTAATATCACGCTTTTTGCAGGGAATCCGTGATATTTTTTAAAAATTCAGACTCGGATGCAACGATCACAAGCTTCAAAGGTATCAAATCTCTGTACTGCCTACATTAGACCAGTCTAACCGCTCGTTTAACATATTTGTTATAAGATTTCTGCTACTGTAGATATCATTAAATTTTGATTATGTTGGTACCGTTTTGACCTAAGTTATATAGTCAATTGGTCCATTGAAGATAACGTAGATAAAGAACAGGTTCAATGCATGTTGAATGTGGATCAAAAAGTGACATAAATCAATATACCTTTCTCGAGTTTTCATTGACTTTCTCTACTGGTGTCATCTTTACGAAACCTTTCTTAGGCTTTCAACTCAAGTAAAATTAGAACATTGTAACCGAAGCTTTTATACATTAGAGATTCTACCCGATAGCAACTGCATAACTAAGTTTTTACGGTAGTTCTTGTTAGATTCTTCGCATATATGTAGTCATCTAATGTTTTAGGGGACGTTTACGAACAAAAAATTGGGTAAGCTTTAGCCGGGTAGAGTGTGGTTTGGGTAAGCACTAATCACTGACTGATTAAGAGGCTGTTTGGTTAGTTTTCTATTAGGTCCTGAATGAATAAAGTTGTCCATGTGGATTAATTTGTCTATATAGATTGTAAATGTTTTTGTTCGGGAGGGTTTTTTCATAGATAGAGAGAGCGTGTTTTTTTAATTGGGATGAACAGGTTTGGAAAAAACTGGCTTTCTACATAAAGCTTCCCTCTAGAATTTTACTAGATAGGTCACTTTCTATATCATTAAGCTACTATCAAACAGTCATGTATAGCTGCTATGAGTCCCATTAAGCTCCTTAAGCTGCTATCATGCAACATCTCAGGCCGGGTAAGCGCCTCTTACCGGGTAAGAGGTGTTAAGCAGGTACTAAACAACCCCTTATTGCCCGCTAAATGTTGATACAACCTTCCTTTCTGATTTCCGTTAATTCTACAGTTTTGCATAGCGATTCCCATCTTTTACACGTCAGCGAGCTGAAAATCAGTGTCTCCAGTTTTAACCTCTCAACACAATATTTCGGCACTAAACGAAAGAATATATCCTCCATGGGAACTTCCAATCGGTGAGGTATTCGAAAATATACCATAGGTGTCAACTTGCTTATAGCACAAATCGTCGTTTTCAAGCAAATAATCGCAACCACTCTTATCCAAACAAAAAATATCCAAAAGGAACTTATCTTTTTCATATCTCACTGCATTTAGATTCTGTTTTTCTTTCGTGTCCCCTATAAAAAGGCGAACGAAAACTTCAAAGTTCAATAAGTTAGTTCTCAAGTGTTTACAAAGCATATCAGAAGTCGGTAACGAAACCAAACAGACTCGGTAAAATCCCAGGGGTTTCCAAAATGGACAGGGTGAAAGATTTGGCATCAAAGAAAGCTGCGGTGATCTTCACGAAAAGCACGTGTTGTATGTGCCATAGTATAAAGGCACTATTCTACGAGCTCGGTGCAAGTCCTGCGATTCATGAAGTCGATCACGATGCCGAACTGGAGTGGGCCCTACGACGGTTAGGGTGTAATCCTGAGGTTCCTGCGGTGTTTGTCGGCGGTAAATATATAGGTTCGGCGAAAGATGTGATTTCCCTTCATGTTGATGGGTCTCTGAAACAAAAGCTGATTGACGCTCGCGCTATCTGGTTCTAGCTCGTATCGATGTGTAACCCGATCGAGTTGGTGCATAGGTTTAACATCGTGTTAGAATACTAAGAATCGAGTCAACGAGCTGCTTTTTTTGTCGGCTTTTTTAAATGTAATGTCTAAATGACCTTCTCCTGTTTTGGGTTCCTTCTGTTATAAATCTTCCGTACGATATCACCTTAAATGCTCGTATGTCTTAATGCACTTAAATTACTCCAAATCCTAAGTGAACATACAATCAAACATCGTTAGCCTTTGACAGTACACATTTTACAGTAGGGTTTGGTCTGTTTGTTAACAACTGAATGGTTTATTCAATCAATTATACATGACCATTTGACAGTGGCTTATTCAGTAAGCTTTTAAGGGGAGCTATATGCAGAAAGTCGAGTTTTTTCCGAACTTTTTACTTAGTTAAAAAACACGCTTCTTCCATCCATGAAAACCCTCAAAACAAAAGTCTTTCCAATCTGTACGGACATATTAATCCATATAGTCGGTTTTATCCAGACATGATCTAATGGAAAATCAGCTAAACAACTCGTTGGTTTATTTGGCAATAAGGCTCGAATTTTTGGTGCTGCTTGTAGCTTACCGGTTCGAGTCCTGTAAGACTACTGAGGATTTTTCTAACTGTTCTACAGAACCTCTAGGATCAGTCGAGGATTACACAAGTTTATCCAGATACTCACGGTTCAAAAAACAATTGATACAAAAAGGTTCAATCAGGGTATCAAAAAGACGAATAACAAGAATATTAAGCATTTTATTTTTGAGTAAATGGAAAATATTGTATATTAATGTTTATTTTTCATGAACATCTATATGAGTTAAATTGTTTGTTTGAATAAATTTACCTGTTTGAGAGACGGAAGACGATGGGTTGGAGAGAGGTAAAACAAGAAATGTTGGATTATTTCTGGGGTATTTTTAGTATTAATTTGTTTGACGTGACTTAATGGGCACAAGTTGGCTTAACGATTAAGCCGTAAAGAAAACACTCATATATGGCTAATGGAATAAGTTGTTTAGACCATTAAGCTTATTAAATTGTAAGTAAACAACCTCTAAATGATAATGAATAGATAACATAAAAAAATCATATGGAACACATATATATTTTTTAAATTAACCTGGATATCCAACCCGCTATGCGAGCAGACTAATCCCAGGGCGACCACCTACTTTGCAGATAGTCCGAAGTCACCGCATTTAAATCTCCATGGCCACAAAGGGGATTTTTTAAGAATACAGTGAACAATCATGTTCAAATATCAAATATTATAATAATTATTTTTATAAAATATATAATGTCTATTTTATATAACTGAACTGATTTTAGGTCTATTGATCAACGAACGTAACTATAAGAAGTTGATAAGACTTAGGCAATGAAGACAAGAAAATGCTTGTGTCGCAAACTTAGTGTAATACTAGTAATGTATGTCAGTATCTCTTAGGATGGTGATTTGTCCTGATCCGGTGGGAAACCTATCTCAATAATAAAGAAAGTTATCAAGGTTTTCTAGATAAGTAGACAAATGATGATCCATTGAGATTCAATAAAAATAAATAATGAATTAAACATATAATACGCAAGCGAATGATTGTTTGATACAAAAAGAGAATTCGTGCTCAACAAATTAATTGTTTGAGCACTTAAAGAGATTTTGAAATGGAGTATCCGAATAGCAAGGTTTTTAACCCATATCATTTGTTCTTAGCTTTAAATACCGGCTTATGCATTAAGGTTTGTTATTTTGCAGCTTGTATTCTGAAACTTTTATGGTAAGTTTTTTTGAAGGTATTGATGAGAGGATCATAATGGTATAATTCGTAATAAAAAAAAGGAAACACATTTTTTATATGTTTTTTTAGTTAATCAATGATTATGTATTTTTTTTAATATGATGCCATATGTAAAATGAAAACTTAAAGATATATAAAACCAATTAATTCGTAGGTATTTATGATTTTTATTTGTGATTGAATTCATAAATATTCGATTTTGAACTCATGTTGAAAATATTGACTAGACGATTATAATAATTGCAAAAAAAAAACATATTTTTAATGCATTTTAGTTCATATACGGTTACTTATGTTAATATCACAAAGTTGTAAAACAAAAAATAAAAATAAAAAGTAAGAAATAAAAAGTAGATAAACAATTAATTATAAGGGTATAAAGTGATTTAAAAATTAAAAATGATTTGAAATTCAAGATAACCATAACTCCATTTTTTTTAAGAGTATAAAAAACGGGTACATTCCTCTAGAAACCTAAATTTTCATTCTAGATAAAACTAAAAGAAATGAAAATTCATTCCCATTTTTATTTTTATTCTTTAACATGAACCAAATAGTAAGTGATTACTGGTAAAATTTAATACTATGGTGGCGCTTTTTTATAAGAGGTGCTGAAATCTGAATTTTTATTTCACATCTTATTTATAAAAGGTGGTGCTGGAATCTGATATCTGAATCAATGAGACTGTTTGTTCTTGTAAATTGATAAACGTCTGAATTTGTTTAAATTGTCTATTTTATCCATTAAAAATTATAATGTTAAATTTATAGGTAAATTTATACAATTTCACATATTTATTCATCATCATTATGAAATTTACATTTAAATTATATAATTAACATTCGTTTAAAAGATAATATGTCATTAACGGTGTTTAACACTTTTACATCCTATTAAAATACATTAATTGAGAGAGGTGAGGATTGATTTGGTAAGGATTGATTGAGAGAAATAATCGATTAAGGTTAATTGATAGAGAAACGCCGTTGTTGAGGATTTGAAGGCAACAAGAGGCAAATAAGAGATTGGTTTACCTCTTATGAGATACGATGAAAATAAGACATAAGTGTCTCTAAAAAATTGGAAAAAACAAACAGTCTGTATAGCCTTGCCTCTTAACAAATCAGACATAAGAGGCTAATAAGAGTTTTTTTTAATGAAAAACTAACAATGCTATATCATTTATTTACCGGGTAAGATTTTAGTCCATCAAAACGGTATCGTATGCATCAATTTACCCGGTAAGCGCTTACTGTGGTAAGAGTCGTCGTCCCCACTAACCGGATAAGAAGAATCTTGGAACATGTCTCGTTCATATCTGATAAGATTCTTGGTTCTTTCCATATTTATTTGATAAGGTAATATGACTTGATAAGTGCTTACCCGAGTAAACGTTTAGTAAACGGTTGTTTACAAGAAGTAATATGTGATAATATTTGTGGATAGAGATGAAAAGAAAAGGAGAACGTGAGTGAAATGGTAAAAAGTATCTTCGGATGAAGCAAAAGGAGATTGAAAATGATGAATCACAAGAAACATGATGATGAGTTATTTATTTAGCAAAAGATACTTTTATCATTTCAAAAGACACTAAGTGCTACATTTCAGTTTAATTATTTTACTAGATGAACATAATAAATATCGAAAATCTTATCTGGTAAGAGAAAAAGTAAGGATCGAGAATCTTACTCGGTAAGAGAAAAACAAGGATCGAGAGTCTTACCCGTTAAATGTTGATCGAGTTATAAACACTTACCATCAATCCATTTTAATGGCCAAGAATGTTACACAAAAGGTAAATGAGAGCGACGAATTTTGTCGATAAGCGTTTGGTAAACAGCCCCTGAATCATTTTATCGATAAACACTTGCCCGATAATAACACACTAAATTTTCAGTTTGGATATATCAACATTAATTATAGAGTAAATTACATGTTTTGTCGATGTGGTTATACGTTTTTAACGGTGTTTGTCCATTTTTTTAAAATTTAAAGGAAAATGCACTTATGGTTGTGTTTTTTATAATGAAGTATCGTTAATTTCTCCATGCTTGTTCCAAGTTCGAAGTACCAATTGTACAAATAATAATCCACTTCGTTACATGATTTCTTTTTCATATAAATTGATATAGGATCTATGAAGCAATTACTTAAAAGTACATTTTGTGCTACAGCCCTTCCTATCTAATAGAAAAGGATCCCATGATCCTGGACTGATCTTACCTACGATCGCAAATCCCAAATTTTGTATTTTTTTTAACAAGTTCGGTCTCTAAATAAATCAACGGGATGGGTCCCTATGGTTGCATTAAGGACCTGTCTCGTTGTAAAATTGCAGACATAAGGATACCATCCATTGAATTTTCAAAAAATGAACGAACACCGTAAAAAAACATATAACCACAAGGATGAAACATGTAATCTTAATAATATTTATTAAGTAGTATATCACTTAAATATTCAATCAAATTTTTAAATAGTAAATTGCATTTTCAGTCCCTGTGGTTTGTTGGAAATTTCTTGAAATTACAATTTTCATCCCTAAGATTTATAATTCATTACCTCTTTTGTCCTTGTGATTTAATTTTTTTTTTTTCATCTTTATGGTTTACAATTCATTTGTATTTTAGTCCTTTATACGTAAAAGTAGTGTTTTAAACTTAAAAGACAAAAATAGAAATAAATTGCAAACCATATGGATGAAAATCCACAAATTTTAACAAAACACGGGGACAAAAAACGTAATTTAGTCTATTTTCATCTGAAATTAAACTTTATTACCATTAATGATTGTTTGATAGTTGTCGAATGATTTGATGCAGAATGATTAAGAGGAACTTATAATATAGTGCAAAATAAAATATAATTGTTTAGAATGAAATTAAGGTGTTGAGTGGTTAAAAAGGCCCATGATACAAATCATTCAGATGATTTTAGAACCATTAAGAAACAGACTTTTTTTTGTCAAACAAGATTCACTTTTAAGAATTCAAAAATTGTCTTTTAATAGAACTATTAAGAAGTAAAATAACAACCGCTTAGTAAAAATGATTTTAAACAAAAAAGTAGTTTTCCAAAAACAAAAATGAAAGCTGTAAAAATGAGCAACTGCAGAGAAAGAATAGAGTAGAGAGTACAGTACGCAAAACTGATTGCTTTGCTTTTTACCTCTATTCTTGTCTGCCTTTTGCATCTTCCCTCTTGTCTCAATCATCCTTTACCTAATACCAATATTTCTATATAACCTTATATTTTCATAACATTTTAAATTTACCTAATACCAATATTTCTATATAACCTTATATTTTCATAACATTTTAAATTTACCTAATACCAATATTTCTATATAACCTTATATTTTCATAACATTTTAAATTTACCTGTACCTGTTCTAAATTAAGTGTCCACAATAGTTTATACACCAAAAGTGCATATCTAAAATCCCCATCTAGGGACCAGATATCGTCACACTTTTCACAAGTCGGGTGTCTTCGTGGAAACACCCGTTTTACTTTTTCGGGGGTAGATGTTCCGTCTACACATGGGTGTTAACGGGTCAAGTCGAGTTGCTCGTTATTCGAGCTCGGCTTGAATAACTTTTTCAGTGTAGGGGTATAGCTCGAATATTTTTTCAATGTTCGAGCACGAACACGGTACTCGTTAACAAGCTTGAACGCGAGATCATTTAGTTCGCTTATTAGCTTGACCTCAATAATTTTATACTTTGACTATATGAATTATGAGCATATGAACATGTTGGCTCAAAAAAGTGTATACTCGAATAGCTCGACTCGACTCAAACAATTAAGCCCGAGCTCAAGTAACTCGTTAAAAGCTCGACTTATTAACACCCCTAGGTCTGTAAACATCTTACCCTCACGAGCAATATACTTAGGTGACTATGTCCAAGGGGCAATTTGGTTGGTTTTTCACCAAGTCCCGTATTGATAAAATTTCTGTGTGGATTAATCTGTCTGTTTAGATTGGGAAGCTCTTTCTTTTTGGGAGAGGCGGGTTTGGAAGAAACTTGGTTTTTTGCATAAAGGTCTTCCTAGAGGCTTATTGAATAAGTCACTTTCTATATTATTAACCCACTACCAAATAGTAATGTATAGCTAACTGAACAAAGTTATGACTCCCATTAAGCTGCTAACAAACAGGGATAGTTCGTGACCTCTATGAGGGAACATTTTTGAAACACACAAACCAGTGTGGTCCCTGGCTAAGTGTATAATAAGATTGCTTACCAGAAACTTGTCTTGGGAATCTCTGGCATTGCTACGGTCCCTCTTCTGCACTTTCTCTGTTAAGACCACCTCCCAACATGAATCAATCCAAGTAACAAATATTTTATTCCATTGCCAGGCCTTGTTTCAGGCAACATAACAAGAAAAAGGCATGAGTCCCTGGTTTACACTTTTAGCTAGGGTATGTTTGTTAGCTATACATGACTCACAACTTATTCGTTAGCTATACATGACTGTTTGGTAGTGGCTTAATGATATAGAAAGTGACTTATTCAGTAAGCTTCTAGGGGGAGCTCTATGCAGAAAGCCAAAAGAATTCCAAACCTAGTCCTCCCAATTAAAAAACATGTTCCTTCCATCTATAAAAGCCTTCCCAAACAAATACCCTCCTAATCTTTATAAACAACTTTATCCATACAGAACTTAATGGAAAACCACAAAGACAACTTTATCCATATAGGAGTTAATGGAAAACCAACCAAACCATTAACAGATTATGTTAGGAGGGACTCGGGGCATGTAAAAATGCAAACCATGAGTTTCACCCTTGTATTTATTTTGATTTTGGGACAAAAGTGGGTAAAAAATGTGAACCACAAGGACCAAATTTGTAATTTACTCAAAATCCTATTATTACCATAAAAATAAGATAAAAAAGGAGCTTTTTTTGCTAACCGTGGATGTTCAGGCCACCTTGCAACACCATTACTTAATCTCATAGGGCCCTGAAGATAACAAGAAAGTCCTCACTGGCCATAAGGAGACTCAAACTAGCGACCTATGAGGAGGAGCCCCAAGGCCAAACCTTTATTTTCCGATTGAAAGAAGGTTGCTTTATTACGGGGTCATGGGGTTTTGAACAAAAGATATGGTACAAAGAAGGAATCGAATCTAAGCCGATAACAGCAAAATATGTAAATAATCAGGATACAGGTGAAGAATGTTTTACCATAAGACTTAGAATCATGTGAGACCACCTATATAACATTGAACCTTCACAATAAGGCATTGCGAAGGTAAACCTTCATAGTAGTTTTGCTGTGAAGGTTCGGTCTATTTTGTGCCTTCACAGTGTTTTGCAGTGAAGATTTAGTGTTATTTTATGGTCTCACGAAAACAGGATTGTCTCACGAGAACCCAACCCTTTACTATTATAAAACCAAACGAGTCCAGTGATAAGATGTACATAGACCGCACCTCTACCTACAGAATAGAGGAGTGTTATTTTTGGTTCCATTAAAAAAACGGTTTTTGAAATGTGTGCTAAAGAAAGAAAAACATTGTAAGATATATTTTGAGAAGCAACAACATGACAATTATAAGCAGGTACAAGAAAAACATAAATATGGTAAAGCAACTGCAAACCCTTCATTTAACTTAATGCTCTGGTAACCTAACTACGGTAAGCATAAGGCAACTAATATATCGGCGTACCTTCTATACCCACCGCTAATTCAATCGGAAAGACGATTTCTCGACCTGTAAGCACGGTCTTGATCCATAGTCCATATAAAGTCAGGCATGTCGATCCTTGGACCAGCAACCGTGCGGTATACATAAAGCTTTTCAACCAAACAGCCATCGGCCTTGGAATCTGAGCAATCCCGTTCATCTATAACTTCAACATTAAGCCGAGGCATCATTTGACTTAATAGTTTACACGCGCCAAAACTGACCGAGCATGAAGACATCCAAAGGGACCGCATTGTCTCCAATTTGGCAACGTTGGCTAACAGAGCCTTATCCCCAAAAGGGCAATCTCGAATCTCCAGTTTCCGTAAGCTGTCACACCCCGACAAAACTGAATGTAGACCTAAATCACTATCCCCAGCAAAGGCTATAGAAAGCATCTCCAATCTCTTAGCGTGTGTCCCGATGTACTCAAACACACGATCGGTTAGGAAACCAGATAACGAAAGGCGCCGAAGTTCCTTGCAGTGTTCTACTATGGCTCCAAACCCAGCATCGAGTGGTTCAAATGTGAGATAATCGGGAGCTTGAGGTTCAATAATACATAGCCGGAAGCATGTCAAGTTAGGACGGTTCCTAGCAATGGCAAACAATGCGGAATTTGACATTTGTCGACAGAAGTAGAGAACCGACTGGAGCTTGGGGCAACCCCGACAAACCGATACAAGGCCTCGTTCTGTCAAGGATACATTTGCATCGCCAACATATGGATCAGACGGGAACACCCTCAATTCTTCTAGGTCCTTACATGATATAGAGAGGGCATAAAGCCCGGTATCCTCGATGTAATCGAGTACCTGTTGTCCAGATCTTTCATTAGAATTTTTAAGGCAAAGTGATAACAATTGGCTAGAAGACGGTCAATTTGAGAGGAGACGAGAAGTTCTAAGATCATATATGATTACATGTGATATGTACACTTAATCATATATGATTAAACACATGTTGCGTTGACCGGCACATAGTGGGCGACCTTCCCCTGCGACCAACCAAGTCGCACACTTCTCGTTTGGATGTGTATGATCTTATATGATTAAGCGTCCGTATCACGTGTAATCATATATGATTTTGGAACATCTCGCCTTCTTGCAAATTGATCCACTTCTCGTTTGATCCGCCCTCTAATACACTAAAGTGTAAATAAGATAAGATATAGTGAAGTACACTAGCAGAAATACATCGATAGGAGATGCAGAATAGTAAAGGACTGGTATACGAAATAATATGCAAAGTGCAAACAAGACCTACCCATAGACGCTGCAGATTACGGCACTCACTTATGATCTTGGTGATATCCGGACTTCGAATAGAGGAATAGCTCAAGTTCAGTGATGTGAGCCTAGAACAAACAGAATATACGGCAGGAAGATATGATGGAACCACGTCCCAAAACCCCGAAAGGCCCTTAAGCTTCTTACAGCATGAGAAAGCCTCTGCTAGACGTGAATACGTATCAGGTCTAACTTCTGCAGAGTAAGCACCTGTACCAAGCTCAACCAGCTGTGGGGCCCGGTGTAGCAGTGTTGAGAGCTTGTCAAGGGGTACAGCACGATTGAGACGAAGAGTCTTCAAGTTGGGTGAACAAGCAACCAGGCGCTCAAGGGCTGAAAAACTCACCTCGGAACCCAAGCAAGCCATGTTAATAGACTCCAATGAGGTAAAAGTATCCGGGAAGTGACTTAGCCAATGCCCACTTAGATCCTCGACTTCACTCTCCTGCAAATCCAGTTCTCTCAAATTTCTGCATCCAAAAGCAGGAGAATGAAATGAGTTCATGCTTAACTTACTACTTGCAAAAACAAAGATGTTACAGTTCATATCCGTTTTTAAGACAAATTCAAGAAAGACCCATGTCTCTCTCGTTTCTCTTCTCTATGTATATTTGGAGGAAGGGGCAGGATAGAACATCATATTAAGGAGAAATGACTGGTATTTTAATCTTCTAGCTCTTGGTTTGCAGATGTTTATTCAACTAGTTAAGATTAGCCAAAATGAACAATTTGGCAGTCTCTGTATTGTTCCAATTATAATTATCTCATAACATATGAACTTTCAAGAGAACTCCCATGGGTAGAAAAGTAGAAGCAAAAACCAGTTCGACTGAATCCCACCAGTAAAACTGTAGAAGGTGGAAACTCCTTTCTCTCCCCCGGTTACTCTTGGACCATTTCTCCTCTATATATATGTCAGAAACTCATTCTCTCCTCAAGGGCTCTATTGGAGAGTAAATCTTGGGGTTCCACATATTCTTACAAGGTATTCGAGCCAAAATGTCTACCACTCCAGGGACTAGACACCCGGGGGACAACCCAGCCCCCTCACCATTAGCCCCCTCTCAACACTTTGGAACAATTTGTGCCCGTCTAGCCTCCGTTGGAGGGGGCATTCTAGAGTCCCACATAAGCTAAATTTTGAAGGCTTTCTATATATGTTGGAACCTCTTTTTCTCCACATAGGCTCTTTTGGAGAATAATCTAATTGGGTTCAACATATTCTCAGAAACTATATAATTTTGAGATTGATGAATCCAGATTCACATACTCTACAATGATACAATACAAAAACTCTAAAAACTTGAACAGATAATGGTAATGACAACAAGTTTACAAAGGAACACATTAATCACATCACACGAAGGATTTTTAAGATGAAAGAAGGATCCGAAGTTAGGTAAAATCAGATATGCATGTAGGAAATTTCATAACCGATAACTAAGCATCTATGAGAGAAACAAAACAACAAAAATGAAAGCGCATTTTGAGACAATCAGTAATTACATTCGTACACATTTAGAGATTCAAATTTTCACTAATAAATCAGTAAAAGGGAGAGAAGTTCCACCTGCAATTAGCGGCAATGGCAGCAAGTCCATCAGTACTGAAACCTTCACATGATGACAAAACTAAAACCTTAAAGCTTTTAAAAGACTTAGATATCAACTCTAAGCTCTCATCAGTAACCACCATCCGCTTAAGTCTTATCTCCTCTAACCAAGGGTATGCCCTAGAAAACTCAGCGATCCAAGGGTAAACATATCCTCCCCAACCATCCGGTACCAAATTGAAATCCGCAAAATGCGGCTTCCCTTTCAACTCCACCGATCTTACATCCGGAAACCTCCTAATCACCATCCCGGGGCTCACAGCGTAACAGTTTCCAACGAAAATCCTCCGACGACACCACCGCTCTATCTCATACCACGATTTGCACACCAATGAAACCACATTTCTGTCCTTATCGGAGGTTATGAACGAGAATATGTGCTCCAATACATCATCTGGAAACGAGTACCCCATTTTCACCATCGCGAGTCGAACACCTAAATGTCTCACCGGAAAAAACGGTCGGATCCGTGAATCTAATAAACTCTGACGAAAACTCGATTATCTGTAGCACGAATACGTCTATTAGCTCCAGATCTGAGGATAGAACACACCATTGTGGAGCTCAAATTGAAGTGTTTTGAAGGATTTTGTGATATAGACAGCTAATGATGGGGAGAGTTAAATGTAAATGTGGTTTATACTACTTGTATATATAATAGTGTTGGTGGGGTCACACGACTGGATGATACGAGATAGGTGTTGATGAATGGTTTGTTGCAGAATGATTAAGAGGTTTTTATGATATAGTATAAAATGAAATATAATTATTTGGTAATTGTGTACAATGAAATTAGGGCTCTTAATGGTTAAGAGAGATCCAGGATACAAAATCATTTAAAGGGTTTTAGAACCATTAAGAGGCATACTTTTTTTGTCAAACAAGATTCAGCTCTTAACAATTTAGAGGTTGCCTTTTAATGGAACTATTAAGAGGTAAATAAACAATCCCTATAATCTTAAAATTTGTATTTTGATCTCTTAATAATTTCATTAAAAGGTAGTCTTTGAATCGTTAAGATAATGAATTTTGTTTGGAGAAAAAAAGTTTGACTCTTAATGGTTCTAAATTTTTTTTTGAATGATTTTGTATTCTGGATCTTACTTAATCATTAAGCGTTATAATTTTATTATAAACAATTATATTTTATTTTGCATTATATCATGAGAGTCTTTTAATCATTTTACACTAAATCATTCAGACATTGTCAAACAGCTCCTAATTTGCTAAAAGAAAATCTACCTAATAATCATTCAGCGTCCTAATTTCATTTTAAACAATTATCAAATAATTATATTTTATTTTACATTATAACCTAAGAGTCTTTTAATTATTTTGACCATTTAATCATTTTGTATCAAATCATTCAACAACTACCAAACAGTCCCAATGATATGTTACTATATTATTTTTTTTTCTAAAAGTAAATTACGGTTTTTGTCCCAGTGGTATGTTAGTAAACTCGATTTTATTTTATGTGATTTATAAATTGTGATTTTTACTCTTATGGTTTATAATTTGTTGCAATTTTTATTCCTTGATTAATTCTTATTTTTAAGTACATTGGACCAAAAAATAATAAATTGTAAATCATAATAAAACGAAAAATAACAATAAATGACAAATCATATGAATGAAAACTGCAATATTTTAAACCACATACACGAAAATCGTATTTTCTTAACAAATCACAGGGACTAAAAACGTATTTTACTCTTGTTCTAAAATAAATATTCACTTTTAAATATAACTGAGTAACTGACTAATTTTCCATTCAGCTGTTAATTATGAGATTGGAGAAAAAAATCCTCTCTTTGTATAATTAAAAATAAGATTGTCCTTTTTGTAAATTAAAAATTGTAATAATTACATTTTTTTTAAAGATCCGTGCTTATTTTATTATGAACATTTATTTTGGGATGTGGGAATATGTAGTAGCAAATTTATATGACGAGTTCGAATAAAATATAAGAAAATTGTTTATTTAGATCATCTTTGATAGTTTTTTTGAGTGAATCACATTTTTGTTCCTTGTAGTATGGCTTTTAAGGATGGTGATTTGGTCTGACCTGATTGGGAACCCGGTTCATCCGACCTGAATGGAGACAGGGATTCCTTGCTAAAACGAATCCCGGGGACGGGGATCCCAGTAGACTCAAATTGAGGTTGAGGCAAGGTTTGGGTATTGTACTTCCCGACCCAACCCGTACCCGGTATATAATTTTATTAATATATTTTATATAATATTATAAAACATGTGACAAAAACTCTTAAAAACTATTTTTTATTCATGAAGTACTGTTTATTAATGCATATTACTTAAAATTCAAGATTACAAGTAGATTGTGCTTAAGTACAACTTATTAAAGCTCTGTATTTGAATTATTGTAACTAACTATAGATAAACATAATCAAATACAAGAGAAACATCGCATTTTAAATAAAAAAAATCTAAAATATAATTAGGATAATCATTAGATTCCAACAGTATACTTAATTATTATCTTTATAAAAATTATATTATTAAACCTAAATTAAATTATAATTAAAAAATTGAATTAAGAAAATTAGACCAAACACAAGTACTTTTAGAAAGATTAATTTGATATTGATATCGATATCGATATATATATATTTTTTAAATTATAATATTTTTAAATTTATATTTTATTCAAAAATAAAAACATTATCGTTTTCTCAAAACCACATAAAACCGCATTATATCGACATAAAAAGGGAATAAAACGAAATACTAAAATCAAGATGTGTCTCGATGCATTGCACGAGTACCTTTCTAGTTTTATATAATATATGTATATATATTATTTATTTTCTAAAATTAGGTCTTTATCGGGACGAGGTCGAGGCTTAACCAGAAAATAAACCGAAGGCGGGATGTTAATCCCCGTACCTGCCAGGGATCGGGGCCGAGGATTACAAAACTCGTCCCATTGCCATGCCTAATAGTTTTGGTAGTCGACAACTTTTAATGACTATGATCTCTCTCACTGACATCTAATAGTTTTGGTAGTCGACAACTTTTAATGACTATGATCTCTCTCACTGACATTGCTAAAAAAATCCATTAGCACGTTGAGTTGATAAAAATACTAAAATGCCATGTATACGTATATACACGACTCACCCATCCGACTAACTCCCGCATCTTTTTCTATCTGTCAACCTCCTCAAATTAATTAGAGGACGAATAAACCGTAATTATGCAAAGTTCACAAAAAACGGGATCCATGTGTTTGATCTGACCGAAGATCAAAGGGTGAGAGATCGTTGTAGAAGGGTCATCTTAGGCACCGTAAAGGGCATTCTTCTTGAATCAGAAGCGAAAAATATACGCTAAACGAAGGAACATTGTCAACCAATATGGGACAAAAACCCGTGTTGCAAACCTTATGCCTTTTTATCTTAGATATAGCCCCAAAAACAGAAGAGACCTACCTTCCTTTAATAGCTTCAAAACTCATCTAAAGATTTACAGGAAAATAAGAGGTCACTGACTGTAGGAATGTTTACAGTTTGGTTTAAGTGATTTAATCCTCCAAACTGCTATAGCGGTTTAGAAAAATTTCGAACAAAGCGGTTTGGCTGCAATTGACCAAACCGGTCACAGCATAACATAAAAAACCGGTATGGTCTAATTGGTTTAGATTGTTTGGGCCTCCTATGGGATTTAAGCTTAAAATAAAAACATAAAATTTTATATCCAAAATGAAATTTCTACCAGCATACTAAAAAACAGTATATGAAATTATAAAAGAAACGTCTGTCTCTAAAATAAAATAAAAACATTGAGCAAACTGGAAAAAGTTAAACAAGTCCACCAACAAATATTTGGAGTTTTGAATAAACATTGACCAAATCTAAAAACAATTGTGAATTTTAGATTTAATTTTTTACGGGTTTCGGGTTTTTGGCAATTTAGATTTTGAAATGAAAGCTAAAACATATTTTTAACGACAATTGAAACAAGGGATTAAATTCAGACGGTTTTACTGACCATAATGGCTATCTTATAATTCTATAACTACAAAAATGAAAAGTGTTATTTACGACGAACTACAAAGGACCGAATTTATAGTTTAATATGAATAAAATTAGAGAGAGTTACAAAATTGAATTTTCTCAAGAATTTATGTTTAGTTAATACTTCTCTAAATACTAGAATGGTACTCATACAATGTAGCGAGATATATCTCGATTTTAATATTCCGTTTTTTTCTGTCAACGTCGATGTTATAATACGATTTTATGTGGTACTGAAAAAAACAATAATGTTTTTGTTTCTTGAATAAAATATAAATTTAAAGGTATCATAAAATTTTGAAAAAAAAATGTTTAGATTTTAGTATCAGACTAAATATTTAAAAATTCTTGTTTTTTGTGTAATTTCTTTAATTCAATTTCTTATTATAATTTAATTTATCTATACTATCTTATAAAACATTTAGCTAAAACTCTTAAAAATTCTTAAACTCTTAAAAACTCTTAAACCTGTTCATTCCTATCCGAATTCATCCCATATCTAAATTCGTGTAACTAACTGCAGATAAACACAATCAAATAGAGGATAAACATCTCATTTTAAATATAAAAAATCTAAAATATAATTAGGATAATCATTGAGTTCTAACAGAATACTTAATTATTATCTTTATAAAATGTT